CTGGGCAGAAACAGGGGGTATGGGTCTGGCAGGACACAGGCCTCCTGTATATGTTGAACTCAAAGCAGGGGCGGACCCTGTTAAAGTGTGCCAGTATCCTATGCCCCTAGAGGCAAAATGTGGAATTACTCCACATATCAGAAGATTAATGGAACTGGGGGTGCTGAGAATGACCCAGTCTGCCTGGAACACCCCAGTCCTGCCTGTCAAAAAGCCCCAATCCGGGGACTATAGACCAGTACAAGATTTAAGGGAGGTGAACAAGAGAGTCATTGACATTCATCCCACTGTCTCCAACCCTTATACATTACTCAGTACCCTGCCACCAGATCGGCAATTGTATACAGTTCTGGACCTCAAGGATGCCTTCTTCAGCCTGCCTCTAGCTCCCAGCAGTCAGCCCTACTTTGCCTTCGAATGGCATGATCCGGAGGCAGGAATCAGTGGCCAGCTGACTTGGATGTGACTGCCTCAAGGGTTTAAAAATTCTCCAACTATATTCAATGAGGCCCTGCATGAAGATCTGGGTGAGTACAGAGCCCAACACCCCGACATAAGCCTGTTACAATATCTAGATGACTTATTGATCATGGCACTGGACCAGAAGTCCTGCCTGGAGGGAACAGAGGATTTACTCCACATACTTGGGGACTTGGGATACTGGGCCTCAGCACAAAAAGCTCAGATATGTCTGCAAGAAGTGACTTACTTAGGGTACATCCTCAAGGAGGGGCAGCGGTGGTTGACTAAGGCCCACAAAGAGACTGTGCTGAAGATACCTGCACCGACCTCCAGAAAACAGGTGAGGGAATTCCTGGGTACCACGGGGTTCTTCTGCCTCTGGATTTTGGGGTTCCTGAAATTGCAAAACCCCTATATGAGGCTACCAAAGAAGGACAGGACTTCAACTGGTTGCAGGAAAGGCAAGAGGCCTTTGAAACCCTAAAACGCAAGCTCTTAGAGGCCCCTGCCCTAGGACTACCAGACATAAGTAAACCTTTCTGTCTATATGTGGATGAACATAAAGATATTGCGAAAGGGGTCCTCACCCAGAGAATAGGCCCCTGGAAGAGACCTATTGCATACCTATCAAAGAAATTAGACCCTGTAGCAGCTGGATGGCTCCCCCTGCCTGTGAATTATAGCAGCAGTGGCCCTGCTGGTTAAGGATGCTAACAAGTTAACCCTGGGACAGGACCTGCTTGTGGCAAC